TCAATATATGTTCCATTCTATATGCATCCGAAGAAGTGGGCTGTAGTCCACGAAAGCTTATGCTCTAATAAATTTGTTAGTCTCTAAGGTGCCACAAGTACTCCTGTTCTTCTAACTGGGAAACAGTTCCTTTCAGTAGTTGGGGTGAGATTCTACTACTGAAAAACAAACAGTTTTATGAACAGTTTTAATACCTGCCTTTATAACTTACTGAATGGATGGTTATCTAGTGTATTATCTGAGCCATCACATTTGCCTTTAACACTTTCATTTACATAATTCTAGGGCCATTGTGACAAAGCCCCACAAAACCATGGGAGTGCACAGTTAAAGATGGCAGAGACAATCAATTGAGATAACCCACTACTATTCTTTCCAACACCAGGCCATGATTTTGTGCAATATGCAAGCTGTTAAGGTGACTCCCATTTTGCATAGCAGGGTTTAAAAGTCTGCTTTTACATTTCCCCCTTATGTCTTCACATTCCTATTTTTGTTGGCTTGTGACATAATCTTAAGTGCTTTTTGTAAGTAAATTATTTCCATCCCCTCCCTCCAGTAATTCACAGTTTTGTTTTGTTTTAAACTGTGTGCATTAAAACAAAGTGTCCGCTGTCAGAAATCTTTAGCTGTAATGTTACTTTAGGTCCGGATCCAATAATGAATACAAATCAAATAGCACATCTGATGCTGAGGTAGCTTTCTGAAACCAGTGCCAAAGTGTTTGCAGAAGTGGGAACTAAGTAATTTCCCCCTTTTCCTCTTCACACTCCCTGGCTTAGCAGCCCAAGTATCCTCCGGATCAGTCAAGCCAACCCAGAACCACCGTGCAAAGGAGTAAAGGGCCTGTATCTCCTTTATTCCCAACAACAGAGGATTGTGTATAGAGACACACATATATATTCATACATATTACTGTCTTTGCAATTTTACAATATAGTTCAATATTAATAACATTTCAGATGTATTGTGTTATAACAGAGACTTAACAGATCATAAAATGATGAGTTTTGTAACTTAAATACATTTGATAGATTAAATGCAGATTTTTATATCAGGTATATGTGCAGGAGATTTTATTAAGTACCACAATCATATAAGAAAGGGTATTTTCCCCCAATAGGAATTCTCCTCCTAAAAATAGTTCTGAACAATAGAAGGGAAATGTCTCTCCCAATTTATGAAATAACCTGCTGTTCACATTCTGCTTTGTGACTAAACATTGTAGATATTGGTTTTGCTTAATGCTGTCTACCCAGTATATTCAGCTAAACCTTTGCATAAAAGATGAGGGGAAAAGAGACAACTAGGAATGAATGGGTAATGATAAAATTAATTTGGATCTTTTAACTCATTGTTAACTTTACTGATTTCTAATCAAATGGAACATTTTCACTTATTTAGACCCCAATCCAGTCAAGCACCTAAGCATGTGCTTAACTTTAAGTACATGAACAGTCCCGGTGTCTTCAGCAGGATTATTTACCTGCTCAAAGTTAAACATGTACTTAAACACTCTGCTGTATCAAGGTTTATACACTGAAGCCTTCCAGATGAACCAAGTACATTCAGGTCATTTATCCCTGTATAGTCTGAGCTGGAGAAAAAGCTAATGTTGAGAGACACACAAATAGTGCAGGTTTAAAGTAGACATTCTATTAGTTCTTTGATTTGTCGCTGCTTACAAGCTTACTTTATTACAGTAGTTAACAGGAATTAAAGATAATGACATATACAGCAAATAAAAGGCCACTGTTAAAATAATATATTTGTAATATATTTTTAAATGTATCTCTCTGTGTTTCTCTGCAATGGGAGTTAGGCAACTAGGCACCCATTAGGTGCCTATCTGCATCTTTAGGTGCCCAAATTCTTTTAAAAATCCTGCCCTAGATCTCTTTTGAAGATGAAACTTAGGCATTTTGAAAATTTTACCCCTAATTTACTTTTAATTTTTTGTTGTTTTTTTAACGAACTTTCCCTCACATTTCCAACCCTACAGGGGAATATTTACTTGCCTCTTAACACTGGATTGAATATTTTAGAAAATGAATTTGTGAAAACATTTTCATTCATAGTAGTTTAGATAGCACCACCCTTTATCTCACTGGAGTCAATGGGACTATTCGTTGAGCTAGATACTACTCACCATAAGTGCAGGTAACAGAATCTGGTCCATTAAGGATTATAACCACCCTACATATTTCTAAACATATGTTTGACCATGACCTAAATTTGATCCTAAACTAAATTCACAAAATTGACTAAATTAATCTGTTCTGCTGCAGGAGGATGCAAATTGTATGCCCTATATGCCATGTAACATATCTCAACAGGGCACCTGCTGCCCAGTTGAAAGGGAAATACCCTGCTGCCAGGGGGGATATTGTTTACAGAAGTGCTTTCCCCAGGGTCCCTCTGGAATGGTGGTTGAAGCATGAAGAGGCATACGAATGTTTAGCATATCTGGCACATAAAAACTTTGCTACAACAGTGCCATGTGAATGCCTATTCTCACGTTCTTCAGGTGACATTGTAAATAAGAAGTGGGCAGCATTATCTCCCATCAATGTAAACAAACTTGTTTTTCCTAGTGACTGGCTGAAGAAGAAGTAGGACTGAGTGGACTTGTAGGCTCTGAAGTTTTATATTGTTTTGTTTTTGAATGCAGTTATGTAAAAAAATATAATTCCACATTTGTAAGTTACACTTTCCTGATAAAGAGATTGCACTACAGTATTTGTATGAGGTGAGTTGAAAAATACTGTTTCTTTTGTTTATCTTTTTTACCATGCAAATATTTGTAATCAAAAATAATAATATAAAGTGAGCACTGTACGCTTTGTATTCTGTGTTGTCATTGAAATCAATATATTTGAACATGTAGAAAAACATCCACAAATATTTATAATAAATTTCAATTGTGATTCTATTATTGTTTAACAGTGCAATTAAAACTGCGATGAATCGCGACTAATTTTTTTAATCTGGTTAATTTGCGTTAATCGCATGAGTTAACTGTGATTAATTGACAGCCCTACTTTAAATCTTATTAAAATATTTAAAATCTGTTTGACCCACACAAGGTTGTGTGGCCCTCCTGTGTAATCAGGCTGGGCACCACTGCTATAAGCTATAGGAGGGGTACCTTGGGAAGAGGGGTGCTATAGGAGGGAGCACCTGCATCTACTCTCTAGGCAGTCTTTCTAACTACCAGGCCCTTTCAATGGTAGCCCAACAGAAGCTGATAGAGCCTGCTGGTGAATATAGCTCCTTGATTTTATCCTTGAAAAGAATCTAAAGAACAATTACTTTATTCAACAGTGTCTTATATTTGAGTTTTTATTTTCCACTGTGGAAGCTTTTGTTTGACTTTCCAAAGCAAAAGCTGGCATGAACAATAGACCACCTTTGTTATCTCTCAGATCATAAGAATTTAGAATCACTTGGTGTTGCCTGGCCTGATTTCATACAGTGAGATCCGGCTGTTGTGTATTTGGATTACAATTCATTCTTAGGCATGGAGCAGCTATTTAGGTGGTTGTACTCGGAAGCAGATCTGTTGCCAATCAAATTTCTCCTGAAAGGTTTAATGCTTGTAGTAAATAGGAGGAGCATCAGCAACAGCACAGAGTGCAGCAAACAGATCTAATGCAAAGACAGAACAGAAGAGAGGAGAAAACTTTAGGAAGCGTGAAGAAAGAAATACAGTTACTATAGGGGAACATGCTTCTTATAGGAAAAAAGATATAAACCAATGATCATACAGTTCATCATTATTCAAGCAACATGTCACGGCCAACGAACAGAAGACAAGATAATCACAAAATAGTAAGGCTTATTTAAATATATAAATAGTACTGCACATGGAGTTATAGCTAACTATTGTTTTATTGAAGTGTATTGTTTTGTACAGTCATGATGGTAGACTAGCTAGAAAGTAGAGCAGTGAACCAAATTTTAGTAAGTCTATGTACCGAGGGATGAATCTGTCAATTTTAGAATGGCTGCACTGAAGACATTTATGGCTTCAGTGAAAATATTAACCCTCTTGTGAGCACCCAATGCTGTGACTTAAAAGAGAGTGTTTTTTTGTTTTAATTTCTTACAAAATCAGATCTTGATATTAAAAGTACTTGTGAAACAATTGACATTAACATTTGCTATAGAAACATTATAATTTCTCCTGACTGTGACTGTGATATGAAATGTTTTTCAGCCAGCCCTGGTCCGAAACATGATTAATCCTGGTGGCAGAACTCTGCCTTTGTTTTGGGGACAGCAGAGCAGTATCGGTCATGCACTTAGCATGAGCCATTCTGCAATTGCAGGGACAGATGGTTTAGGCAGGGCTGCAGCATATGAGCTGCCCACCTGGAGAACTAAATATGCCTCCTTGCTAGCGGACCACACCCTCTTGGAGCTGTGTGGTGCTTGGCCAGCACTGAGGCCAGTCCTCTTTCCTAGTGCTGGGGAGAGATCCTACTCTCCTGCTTGCATGAGAGGGACAGGAAATAGTGCACCTGCACTTCACAGGGTAGGAGCTGGTCCTTAAGGCCAAAATCTGCTCCCATTGAAAACAATGTTAAAACTCATACTGATATCTATGGGACCTGGATTTGCCCCATAATGAGGAACTATTGATTGCACAATACAGTATTACATCTAGTAGGGGATACACAGACAAAATGATGCCTTTTGCTGTTCCAACTATTATGCTTGTTCAGTATTTTGATCAAATGCATTATCTGTGAATATTCTCCTAATATTCCAAAGTCCACTTAAAGACTTGACATGGGAAACTATCCCTGAAGCATTTCTTAAACTGCATGAGCAATTAAAAAAAAAAAAAAAAAGTCTGTCGCACTAAAGGTCTGGAAAACCAACGTTGTCAATTATTCTCTAGTTCTCTGACTGTGGTTTTAAGGGGTAAAATAGCCAACTGTTGAAAACCTAAGAACACTTGGCTCTAACTTTTTGTTCAGGAGCCTGCCAGCCAAATGTGCATATACAAGGATGTTCATTTTTGGATCTCCCCATTAATTAACTTTGCCCAGAATTACAGATTGGAAGTTTCCTGGTTTATGTTAGGAACTTAAGGTGAATTGTCTGCAGTTCTACCAACCCATTTTTGATATGATGTAGTTTTTAAAATTACTCTTAATGGGTGCTAGTTGGCACAATGGCGTAGGGCACTAGCCTTCTATTTTGAAAAATAAGGCTTTGGTCATCAATGAAAATGAATTTATCAGCACTAGTCTAGTCTCCTGTGAAAAGGTCTGGATAATAAGCCCACCACAGGATGTGCCCAACTAGTAGCCTCTGCTCAAGATCAAAAGAAATGGGGTGTTTCAGATCAGAAAGGAGATGCACTGGCAGAGTTTCATGTTGTTCTAAGCACAGCTCTTGAGTGCACCAGTCAGTATATGATCTTTCTCTTTCATGCAGACAAGTAAAATAAATTAATGAATAAATGGAAGCTTCTGACTAAAGCTAAAGGGAGCATAGATGAAGGATCTGATTCAGCAATGAGCTCCCCATAGGCTGCAGGCATCCACTCACACTGAACTCTTTGCAATCAGGATTTAGACTCCAAGTAGACGTGATTAAATTAACACTGCTGTTTTGTAATACTGCAATTTACTTCTTCCCTTACACGTAAGCCCATTGACAGACAGTGTGGTTCAGTGACTAGGGCACTGACCTAGGAGTCAGAAGAGTTGGGTTCTGCAACTAATCTGCTGTGTAACCTTACTCAAGTTGCTTCTGTTTCCTCTTTTGGCTGTTGTCTTATTTACAAGCTCTTTGAAGGAGTGACTGTCTCTTAATATGTGTTCGTACAAAGCCTAGCATAATGGGGCCGGAACTCAGGTGGGGCTGTTAGACACTGCCATATATAAATAAAATGATATTAATTCCCATTGAAGCCAATAGGAATAATCAGGTTATATGGCAGGAAGGGCTTGATCCTGTTTGATTGACTTACGTGGGAACAAAACTGAGCTCTGTATTTTTATGGGTCAAATACTGTGTCCAGTGTCCAGTCCAAGGATAGTAAAAGGGGTATAGGTTGGGGCGAGCAATAGACGTTCCAGGAGTAGGAAAACAGAAACCTTTCCTCCAAAATGGAGTGCAACCCAAGGAGGCCAGTCTAGTGCCTGTGACAGGAGGATCCATGTAGATACATTGGCCTTTTCCCCTGTCCTGTTCCAAACACAGCCAAATGCTGGGGTACACTCTCGGGATCTGCTCCTTGCCCAAGGCTGCTAGAATCCAGCTCATGCACCAAGTCTATTGTTTTCAGGCACCACAAATATTTGTCTGTCTCCAAACCATTGACAAAGTCTGTCTTAAAAGAACTCCTGCCAGAGTCAACTTTTTTCTTTATAAGAATGTACTAACCAACAATAAAAATGTGACACAGATATGAGAAACCTAAATAGCAGAGTAGGACAAAAAGAGACTATTTCACCTTGGCTCCAAGTACCAGCTGAGACTTTTTAATTACTATTATTCAGATAATTTGTATTGTGATAGCAATTAAGAACCCTAGTCCAGGACCCCATTGTGCAAAGTTCTGAGGCTTATTCCTGCCAATGTGATTTAAAATTTCTGTTTAAAGTTTAAACTGCATTTACATTTCAGTCACATTTTGCTTCTTTATTTTAACTTTCCATCAGCAGCCACATAAAGAATTGTGTGAACCCTTGTCATTTTTCTTTACTTCTTTTTATCTTGTAGGACTGGCATTTACCAAGCATCTCATCCTCTGCATCAGCACATCACATGGTATGCAACAAATCTAGATTACTGTGTTTCCTACCATTCCTTTGGACTTTTCAGAAATTCACGTGAAGTGCAAGGTGTTTCAAATATAAACAAATATCATTTTCATTAAAAAAAAATCATCAGAACTTTTCCTCCAGGACAGAATTGTTCTGCTTTTTCTAAAGGCCCCACAAAATGTTACATTTGATATATTTCACAAAGTCCTTTACTAATGAAGGAACAATCCAGCAGGTGGAATTTCATTCTTGCCAGAAAGTGCTTGATTGTGCTCCTGTTTTACTCAGCTGAGCAGGGTTGAGTAAGACCTCAATTGAATAAGAAAGACCTAGCCTGATTCGGGGTCTGGATCAGGTGTGATGCACTCGTCCCTGCTCTCTCGATACTCCCCTCTATGAGCAAGTGGCTGGGAAGAGCTAAGCTCCACACTGTCCCTATTCACTGGCTAGAGCAGAGAGCCAGTCAGAAGGGGGGAAATAAATTGCACCCTTTCAAGGATGGCAGTAAGTTGCACCCCCTTCCCCCAACCCAGAGCAAAGGAGGAAATGTGTCCCAAAGGGGCATCTCTGAGACACTAGGTCTTCTGGGGCTACTCACAGGTTGGTACCATTTACTCACCAGCTTGTACTCAGGATTGTGCCTAAGAGCACAATCTAAGCCCTTGACTACACACAAAAGTTGTACCACTTTAACTGCAGTAAAAAGGGGGGCAGCCCCTTACTGTGGACACAGTTATATCAGTATTAACATACTTATATCAGAATAGTTATTCCCATACTGGTAAGGGAATACATTGTACTGGTAAAGGCAGCTTTATACTGATATAACTGCATCCACACCAGGAGTATAACTATTTTGGTTAAAAAAAAAAGTACACCCCTAACCAAATTTGTTATACTGGTACAACTTTCAAATATAGATCAGGCCTAACCCTTAATTTTCTTTTGTAATATGTACACTTAGATGTACAAGGTGGCAGGAACCCTTATACTTGACTTTACCTGGTCGTATTGTTCGGGTATGTGTCTGAGCAATCCTGCTTTCTTCCTAAGAGCCCAGGTATGGTTTTAATAGGGAAGTCTCTCAGTCATGGAAGGCCCCTGATGCCTTGGTGTAAACCAGCAAGCACAGAACCCATGCTTTGTAGAATTCTGAACATTCTATAGTGAACTGTATGGCTCCATGGAAACTGGGTGTTGGTGTCTCTGAGTTTGTCTACACTGGAAAAGTGGTCAAAGTTAGGTTGCATGTTGTAACTAACCTCAGCCTTTCCGCTAGTGCGGATGCAGGTTAACTCCTTCTACCTCAGTTTAGTAGGTCAAGGTCCACTTTTCCTAATATACGTACATCCTCTGGGAATAACCAGATCCCCTTGAATATACCATCTCTTCCTGGCCAGTTCATACATTTGCCTTCCTGCCTTGTTGATTTGACATAAGGATTTTAGAAACAGGTAGCATTAGCAGCAGGACAGGCTTCTGTCTTAAAAGTGGAAAGTATTAGATATATTTATTTGTGTGACAGAAACAGTGTAAGGATAAAACTCTTCAGTTCAGGAATCTGGAGGTGCAATAGCACTAAGAATGGAATAAGAGCTACTGATGAAAAGAATTAAAAATATTGGCCTCTTATTAGATATCTGAAAGAGAAGGGGAGGACTCTGGGACTGATTCTTATCTGCTTCGCCTTGTCATTTACACCTGTGTAGAACAAGTGCAAAGTGGGTGTAAAGAGCTACTATTATTCAGCTTTGACCGCTTTCTGCATCCTTTTTGCATTCACTGTGCACAGATGTAAATGACAAGACTCAGAACCATTGTGCCTTTTTATTGCAATTGAATCTCACCATCCAAGTTGCTTTTACTCTTGTGAAAGACCTAATAATGCATTGCTTCATTAATTCTGAATGCCATTAGACATGAATTTACTTTTTTGCATTATAACTCTTCTTCCTTCCAAAATTAAAACATGATGCTATAGTCATAAAAAAGAATGAGATTAGAAATACCACAGTCTTGCAAATGGTATTCCAGGCATGCATAAGGAGGGGTGCCTGCACAGATCCCTTGGCAATACTGGAGCCTAAGCGAGGCATGATAATAAAGTAAGGTATACTGAACCCACACCCTGGATATCACTGGCTGTGTGTCCATAGACAGAAGGTTCCTATAAAGATAAATGTTGGGCTTTTTATTCCAAGACACCGTATGATCCTAGTTTGTTTCATTCTCAAACCATATCCATGCTCATTTTTCCCTTTCTTTGACAGAGCAGAGAACTCTTTGTGCTCACCTATGGAGCTTTGGTAGCCCAGCTGTGTAAGGACTACGAAAAGGATGAAGATGTGAACAAGTATCTAGACAAAATGTAAGTAACAAGTTTATTCTGCATTACACATCCAGCTTAGCATTGGTGATGTCCACCTACCTGTATATTTTCCTCCACCCTCTTATTGTCTATTATTTGCTGAATAACAGAACTGTGTTTGGGACCATGCAAAGTACAAATGAAGACAGAGTCCTTGACACAAAGGAACTTACAATAAACTTTATCACAAGATGGTTCAAGAGAAGAGCCCCGTGTTCTGTGCAGGCTCCTAGAACCCATCAGACCCCCTTTGATGATTGTTTTCCATGGACAGTCTAGCAGATAAGTTGAATGGCAGGAATGTTCACCATGGCAATGAATTTTAAACAAATAAGCTCTTCTGGGGCAGGGATGGTCATTTTGTTCTGTGTTTGTACAACACCTAGCACAATGGGGTTCTGGTCTATGACTGGGGCTCCTAGGGAGTACCATAATAGAAAACAATACATAATAATATTGTAGAAAATTTGCCAGAAGCAATTTTTGAATTAGTTATCAACAAAACCTGATTCTAAGACTTAAGCTCATCCATTCGGAAAACAGAAACATACCATGTGACCTACACATTCAATCAAAACAACTAGAATTTTGAATATCAGACACACAATAAACTGCTGGCAAACAAGTTACAGGCCAATAGTTATTCACAACAATTATTCAAGACAGCACCTGTTTGAGAAAACCGTGATCTACTCACAAACAGAAAAAAGAAACAAAACTCATGGAATCAATCACTTGATATTAATGCTTCGCCCAGCCCCAAGCAGTATCACGTATTTCAGCACACTCTGTGTAGGTTCTTTGCAGGTTCTGTGGTAGAAATAGGAAAAGGTTCATGCTGGGAGGTGTGGAGCTCCTACTACATGAGCTTTTTTCCTACCAAATTATATTCTTTTCCATTTGATGAACAAACTCCTCCCTGGTTTAACACCACTGGTTTACCACCATTAACACAATTATATAAATGTAGCCCCTAGTGTTTTTACTGAAGTTTTTGCCAACAGGGCTATTTTGGTTTACTTCTCTGCTTATGCAGCACCATCAGTGAAGATGAAAGCATGGCAGCTTTGGAAGTAAAGTTTATAACCTAGCAGGTCCTATACACATAGATATAATAATGCGGCTGTTGTGTTTCTGCTATATACAGGTTGTCAGACAGCAACTTGTCACTTTAGTTTACAGTTTGTTTTATGGATCCAAAGGTTAAACTTAAAAATAACCCGAGCACTCTCTTGTATTGGTGATGTACATATTTTAATAAAGGCTAATGCAATATTTACTAGTGCAGCTAATGGTGATACTTAGCTAAATGTGCCAGCAATAACTAAATATTTCATGGCTTGCCGGTACATCACACAGTGTTATTTTGAACCTTAGTCTTCCAGAAAGCTTTTTGTTATAACATGGCATTGGGTACCGTATAACTTTTAGGCTTCTTGTTATAGGACCTGATCTGAAATCAATGGAAAACTTTCCATTGACTTCAATGGGCTTTGAATAAGGCCCATAATGAACAGTGAAAGAGATTCAGAAACAATTAAGTTTAGATGGATATGGAAAAAAAATCAATAAAAGCATTTCTGAGCTTGGCCCAGGTGCTTGCATTTACATTCATTAACTTTTCCTTCTACAAAGCCTCCTGTACAATATTTGCCATTATTTAGGAATAGTTACAGAGCCTCTCTGTATTTAATAGCCAGTATTATCTTCAGAAGGTTTGCAGTGAATTTAAAAAAAACTATTTTATTTGGAGAAGGATTTTACAAGCTTTCATCCTTTTTACATTGTCCATCTAATTTCTCTGGAATTTCAGTTGTGTGTGAACAGTTTAATTGAATTTAAATTTGGTTAACTGCAAAATGCATTTTGCCTAACTGCAACTAATTTTGTGCAGAAGTTGCATAACAGACACTGTAGCTATTCTTTTATGGTGATGGGAGATCAAGAGGAAGGAGCATATTACTAGGAAAAAAGAGAGAAGAGAAAGTAGAGAAGGAATTTCAGAGGAGGAATGAGAGAAGGAGGAGAAGAAAAGGGAGGATAAAGAGAAGGAGAGCAGCAGAGAATGGGGAGAAGGTATATAATGATAGAAGAGGGACAACGGCGGAGGGACACAGAAGAGAAAGAGATGCAGGAATGGGAGGACCTACTCTTCTCTTGTGTGAGCCATTTCAGAGAGGTTGCAGGGGACAAGACCTCTGCAACCTGCAATTTCTGTGGCAGGCAGATAAGTCAAGATGCCCAGGACAAATTGGACTCTGGCCCCACCTGTTGGGCAACCTAAGTTATGTGACCTGATGGGGAAGTACCTTTTTTATCAATGAGAGACTACTGAAGTACCCTTAATAAATACATTAATACCACAGCCATGTCAAGACTCAGGGAGTTTCAAGTCTAAGGGGCAGGCTACCATGTTCCCTTTGTTCTTGTAATACATAAATTATAGTTTATTGCAGGAGCTCACACAAAACACAACTCTCTGAAAACCTCAGGCAAAATGGCTTCTGCCAAGCTTCCTAACCAGGTAGGCTGGGCTCAGCCAGTCATGGAACTAGGAGACATACCATGCAGTGCTAATATACCATGGCAATGAACATGATAAAAAAACCTAAATAGAACAAAATAGAATGTGACTACACTTGTGATCAAGTCCAACATTGCAGAAATGAACTGCTTTAAACTGCAACATTTTCACTATGAAGGTCAGTTAACTGGGAACATTTTATTTATTGGTTTCTTCAATTATTCTGTAATTATTTGTTGCTAACTAATCTATTGTTTCACACATGCTTCAATGAACCTAAAGTAGGCAAATTTCACTCCAAGCAAATGTCATGAAAAGCATGAGTCAGTCCCTCAGACTATGCATGGGTATGCCAAACCACCACACTTAGGGCAATGAGGCTACTACTAAGTTCCCTCTAAGCTGCGTGGCCGCACGGCCGTCCAGCAGTCTATCAAGTGCCGGGCACTTCAGGTGCCCCTCCCCGCCCCTGCCATGCTGCTCCTGCCCTCTGACTTGGAGCCCCTGGCCAGCTGCTCCTGGGAGCCTCCTGCTTGCTGTGCAGGGTGAGGAGGGGGCGCTGAGGTCAGGGTGCCCCCTCCCCACTCCCACCCATCCCTGTACCCCATCTCCACAGAGCAGGGTGGGAGGACAGGACAGGGTTCAGGAGTGGGATGGAGGGAGCTTGCTGGCAGTTGCTGCGGTGTCTGAACAAGCAGGCTTCAGACTGGTGAGTGCTGATCTACTTAAAAAGGCAGCGTAGTTAGAGGGGCAATGCATCTCTCTCTTTCCTCTCTCACGCACGCACACACACACACACACACACACACACACACACACACACACAATGTGTCTCTGGCTCACACACACTGTGTGTGTATGTCTGTCTCTGTCTCTCTCACACACACACACTCTGGGTTTCTCTCTCTCTCTCTCTCTCTCACACACACACACACACACACACACACAGTGTGTCTCTGGCTCTCACACACACTATGTGTGTATGTCTGTCTCTCTCTCACACAGAGACAGTGTGTGTGTCTCTATCTCACATACACAGACAAAGTGTGTGTCTCTGTTCCCCCCCACCCATACACAGTCTTTCACATTCATCTCCCAACACATACTTGTATCATTGTTGTTGTTACTTCTTGATACTTCTTTCAAAGTGTGTTATTTTAGTTTTTTGACTGGTCTATGCATTTCATAATTTTTATTTCTCTCTTACACTAAAATTTAATTCTTTGAGTAGTGCAGTCCAAAATGCCTAACCTGTCCTGGCTGGAGTAATTATCCCTATGGTAACTTTTTAAAAATATATATTATATCTAGGTTTTTTTGTTTCTACTGGTGGTGCACATTCACACATTACTTTGATATGGGGCACATAACAAAATTCATTCTGCACATGGATGGAAAAAATTAGAGAAAACATTGGTTTACTAGTGTCATCACATTCCCAACTGGTCAATCTGTATGCTCAGTGTGTAATGGCCTTCTCAGAGGAACCCCTTTAGAGATCCTACTTCAGAGAATGACATGGGGAAAGATGGCACTAACCGTGGTTAGGTTTTAGTAACAACAAGATAGTAGGACCTGATTCTCATTTACCTTAAGGCCACTTTATACCACTCTAGTCGTACAAAGAGGCCCTAAAATGGGCATAAATTATATCTGTGCAAACTTTAAGACCCCTTTATATGACATGAGGTCCAGGCCTACTTTACACTGCCAGCGTGATGTAAAGTGGCCTTAGTGTATATATGATCGGGCCCAGTAAAATCTCCACGTCTCAGAATACTACTTCATTCAGGGGCCAGAGCATTTTTCAGACCCAGTTCATGCAGCTGCTTTGCACAGAGAAAGAGTGAGACTAGAGAGAGGCATGAGGGGAGGAGACGAAAATTGTTCAGCTTTGCATGTAACTTTCTTTTCTTTGTTTCAGGGGCTATGACATTGGTATAAGGCTGGTTGAAGACTTTTTGGCTCGCTCTGCTGTGAGGAAGTGCCGTAGCTATTCTGAAACTGTAGACGTGATTGCACAGGTAAATAAGATTAAAGTAGTTAGACTCTGGTATCCTTTGATGTCCTCAGACTCTGGAAAGACAATACTGGCCTCATCTCCTACCAGTTCATTCCAAACCAGAGTTAGTCCATCTACCAGTATGCTTAACTCTCCAGTCTGAAATGAAGGTGCTGCAAAGTAGAAGAACAGGACAGTGTGGTGTTCTTCATATTAACACAAGCTCTCCTGGTGTTAACCAAATCAGTTCCCTTATTTAGAACTTTTTACATCCAGCTAACAGCACACAAACTTGATTCTGCTCAGAGCAGCAGCAGCAGTTCTGGGTCCTGGCCTGATGAGCTCTCAGTGTGCTGTGATACTGTGTGAACTGTCAGCCTTTGAGCTCTCCCACTACATTCAAAATACTAGTAGTAGGTCCACGCAGATAGGACAATGGAGTTCTAACCAAGAGCTTGATACAGCTAAACGCTTAAGCATGTGCTTAACTTTCAGGAGCAACCTTCCCATAGCTCCATTATGCAGCACTGGCTTTTACCTATATTTTGATGACTCAGTGGGGCTAAGTCTCTTGAGGAGACATTGGCTTCCGCTTACATAGCATCACTGATGTTTTATTTCAGCCCAGAAATGCTTGAAAACAGGAAATTCAATATAGCAGGTCCATATTCAATCACTAACCTTTTAGTTGGATCCTAAAATTAAAAACACATGGTACTAAGTTTCCACAAAGGAGTCATCATAACCAAGTACTGGTTCAAATAGGTACGAATTCAAATATCTACACAGCGGGATGTTAACCATATGAGATTACGTGAGTAAGGCAAGCAGGACTTGACAGCATGAATACATTGTCTTTTATACTCCCACATAGAATGCAGTTGTTTTATCATAATATAAAGTTACAGTTAACAGCTTTTTAAAATATATTTAACAACAACAACAAGCACAGAGACATCTGTCAAAGGTCATACTCTAACTCTCGGGTTTGCACAAATTGCTGAGTATGTTAAACAATTATTTATACAGGAGACACTCAATGTACATTAGTAATTACAAATATACTGTACTTATTTTTACTAATCACTGGTATGCAGTCAACATGCATATAGAGAACTTCCCTGTCTCCTTCAAAATATTTTAGCCAGATATCACAGCTCTTCTTTATATCTGAATGAACAGTGTGTACAAGTTGTCCTATGTATATTGCCTTGTGCTAAGTGCATTTCAAAAGGATCAAGTGATAAAGATATTTTATGATTCCTGTTCCTTTTTGAGGGATGTGTTTGAATTATTCAGCTGTATTTCTACTCTTGGAAGCAACAGAAAGACACAAATTGAGACATCTTATTTTCTATGCATCTAAGGTACCAATCACTGCACTGTCGGAGCACCACACCACATAAGGTTGAGTCTCTTACCCCAGATCAATTGGTACACCAGATCTTACACCAAAAACAACACTGGCAGTCAGTTCTATAGTAAACTAACTAAAGGTTTATTAGCTGAAAAAAAGGAATGAGCGTTATTGAGAGGTTAAAGCAGATAAAATATAATAACGAGTAAGTCACAGTTTGTAGTTCCAAATGGTAGCCGTGATGCAATAACTGCCAGTTTCCCCAAAGTCCTTCAGGGCTACCCAGAATATCTCAGGGGATCTCCATCTTCTCATTCAGTTATTCTGCTTTGTTAGAAACCAAATAGGAGTGATAAAGGATCTCTCCTTGAATCAGTACTTATAGCATCTTTTCACAGACAACAAGCTGATACGTATGTTTACTCCAGGGGTGAAAGTAAAATGAAGCTCTTACTGGTATGGGGCTGCTCTGCTCCCCCCCCCCCCCGGAAGGGGCTGGGCTTTGGGCAGAAGGGGCGGGTCAGCGTCCCCCAGCCAGTCCATCTGCGCTCCCTGGCCTGCGCCGCCCGGGGCTCCAGCAGCGATTTAAAGGGCCTGGGGCTTTGGCTGGCACTGCCGCTACCCCGGGCCCTTTTAAATCATGGCCCCTGGGCAGCTACTTCTTTTGACACACACACCCCCGCCAGATCATTGCTGCCCCTTTTCTGCCTCCCCCATTGGCCACCGATGGGGGGCGCAAAAGGGGCAGTGCTTTAAGCAGAGTCAGCGGTATGGGCTGGTACTGGCGGCTACCTTCTACTAGTATGCCATACCAGCCTGTACCGCCTTACCTTCACCCCTGGTTTACTCACACAACGGCCAATTGCTTTGAATTTAGCACTCTTCATTTGCATTCAATGAGTTATTTAGTTACAGGGATATACATAATGTAAATCCTGCCATTACATTATAATAGGAATAGATAAGTGAAAACAAAACAAGTAACATTCCATTAGTTTTCATGAAGTTCTAACACCTGAATTAACTCTCCCATTAACACACACTTTGATCTAGGGTAATTTAATTACCGGGCATGCATAATGTAAATGTAATGTAATAGTAAACAACAAGGTATAGATAGGTGACAACAATATGATCAACATCTCCTTTGATCTCTATTAACACACAGATTAATTGGCCTGACTATATGCTAATACACTGAACTCCTTTGATATTCACAAACAAGTGAATTGGCCTATAGCTCTGGCCTGAACTGGTCTGTCAGTGTCATAGCATCTCATAATTATTGGAAAAGAACAGGGTCTGATTAATGGTGTTTACCAGCTTTCAAAGAAAGGGACACTGTCCCTACTCCCCACAAGCCCTCCTTATTGAATAATTTATCCAGTTCTGGTGCTTTCCGCCTCCATGGTATGGAATTCCATTTTAAGAGGTAGGGAGTTTAGGGTCATTGGAGAAGGACCCTCTGACACTGCCATGGGAATTGGAGAGGGCTAGGGAAAAGCTGGGAGGCAGTCCAGAGGCACAGGCCCTTTGCACACATGGTTTATGTCTCCAAGGGCAAACCTCACCTCTCAAAGGAAACTCTCCATTGGAAACTCCAGCAGAGGAAACATGTAGGGCTCCCTGTCCCTGGTATAGGTTTCCCTAACCTAGAAGATGACCTAGCCCTTAGTTGTTAATATGCCTATGACTTATACTTTTCAGTCGTAAATCAGATTCTTATTTTGGGAATGGTCTCCTTTAAGTTGCTTTCATAGCCTTAAAGGAGATTTTCAGCTGTTGCATATTGTGATGCCTGCATGATCTTTGTTCAGAGAATAACACTTAAGCAGCATTTTAGAAGAAAAGATTGTTTACTAGGTGGTCATGGAATGGAATCGCTGAGCTGGGAGCCACTTATTGCTAAAATAAGTTAAATCAAGGTTTTATTTCCATTTTATCATTTGGTGAGGTAAATTTATATGGGGCTTGGCACAATTATGACTGCTTGTAATGATCCATAATATACAGACTGTGATCAGCAGCTAAACAAATACTATAGATTTAGCAGCATAGACTAGAACCCATTCATCTGTAAAACACCAGCTTCTTTCTACTCAGTGAGCTAACGTTGTTCCACCTGCTATTTACCCATTCAACAGGCATTGTCCTTTTCAATCCAGTAGAGGGCAATATTCACAAATCATACAACCTAGTACATTAAATGTGTGTAGTTGTCTAAGCACTTGCAAAAGGAAACCCAAATATACATTAAGAAAAGGTGAATCTAAATCAGATTTAAAAAAAAAAATTCTGATGGACCTAATATAAGCAATTTATTACAATATTTCAAACATATACATTCCCCAGACTTTCCTATGTCTGTGGCATGTAAGTGTTAAATCACTTTTATATTTTAACAGTCCTGAGGACTATTTTATAGCTTTTGAGCCTCAGTTCAATTGAACTAGATGACCACCACACAAAAATCACCTCTATAACTGGCACTAACTGGATCAATTTGGAAAACAAAATAATTCTCATATATAAAAATAAAACAGTTAGGGAGACCCGGTGACAAATGGGAGGGGTGCAGCAGCTGCTACTGCTGTATTTGCCTAAAGCTGGTATGCCTCTTGACAGTAACAATGTGTCTACACCAAAGTAGCACTACCCATATTGCCATTTCCTTCCAGCCCAATCATACTGTGGTTTCCCCAGGCAGTTTTAATTTGACAGGCTATAAAATCTATAAACATTCAGTTCAGAAAAAATACACAAGCTCTGAGATTCTTCCATAGTCAAAGTTATGAGACTCCATTACATTTATAAGAAACAGGGGAAATAATAGTATGTTTCCATGACTGGGGGAAAGCAGTGGACCTGCAAGTTGTACAGAGTTCCAGGAGAATACACCTGGATTGTCATATTACTGTGTGTCATGTCAAATGTTAAAATAGCAAAAGAAAACAACCAAACAAAAACAATTGGTGAACAAATCACAAAGGGCCCAGTTCTGCTGCCCTTACATTTATCCTAGTACATTACTCCATGAATAGCCCTATTGACTTCAGTGAGACTACTTGTTGAGTAAGGTATTACTCGAGTTGAGTAAAGGTGGCAAAATCTCGGCCCAAATGTTTAGCTGAAGATACTGATTGTGCAACATGATAGAAACTAAGTTATGTGACGTGTGATCCTCTCTGATATTTTGGCATTGAGGACAGTTGCTGAACAATATAATAAATAATGTGACTGATATGGAAAGTCGAGAATCACTATATCTTTCATGCTGGCCATGGAGGGACTAAGGCACAGATCCTTAAAGGTATTTAGGTGCTTAAACCCCATTGAATTCAATGGGAGTTAGGTGCCTAAATACCTCTGAGGAATTTGGCATAACTGCTCATATGGAAACACAGAGAGGATCTCTTTTGCATTCACTACAGCTGATGTTGCCAAATACCCTGTAACAAGACATAGAGCCAAAATCACTCACTGCACACACTATGATCTGTTGGTGTGACTGCGAGCCATGTTACTGAAGTAACAGTCACACATCTCCCCTGTGATATAGAAGACAAAATAGACACCTTTATATTGCATAAAGCAACTTCAGGTGGTCAGCACATGAAAAGAAGAGTGTTGTAAAGTCCCTCAAATTGGCCTCTGGGCCTAGTCACATTTTTCTATGCTTGTTTTTCTTCTCTTCTTTTCTGTGTGATGCATTTTCCTTTGTTTTCTCTGTGGTTTCAAATATTAGTACCAGATGTGAGATGATTTTTCTGGTTTTACTGGGTATTTGAGGTTACCCAAAGTTCTGCCTATTTGAAAGGACCTGATTTCTTCTTTTCCTGTTTTATTGTATAGTACTGTTGACCAAACAACACACATATAAGTAGAGAAAGACTAACTTTAGGAAGAAGGGAAAGGACTCTATTTTCCTCCTGTTACATGTTCTTCTATCAACTGCTATCAAGGCTATTTAGCATACTAACAGAAGGAGTCTCTAGCATAGTCTCGAGTAAGAAAATAAGATTAAGTAACTGACAGACACTTCTGAATCTTTGTTTACAAAATAGCAGTTTAATGTTCTTAAATGTCACTTTCAAACTTAATGTTCTGAAAATTCTGGCAAAAAGATACAATTATAATCAGCACAACAGTCTGAGCACTGATTTTCTACAGTAAAAAGCAACAGAGGGTCCTGTGGCACCTTTGAGACAAACAGAAGTATTGG